TCCCCAGCACAGAGGGAAGGTCCACATCCCCCAGACTCTCACCCATTCTGCACGTCCACCACCAGCGCGCGGGGCTCGCGCAGGCCCGAGTTGACCAGCACGGTGCGGTAAGCGCCGTTGAGCTTCGACACCTCGATGGTGTCCCGGCCTTTGTCACACCAGTACAGGTTTCCTCCCACCCAGTCCACAGCCAGCCCATCGGGGTTGCTGAGCCCTGTGCGGTGAAGGACCTGCCGGGAGGAATCAGAGGTGATGGGGCTGAGCAGGGAGAACCAAACCCTAATCTCTCGGGGGTGACAGCATCGCCCTTCCCAGCCCAGATCTCCTTCCTCTTAGATTTAGATGGGATTTTGGGAACAAATTTCTCCCTATGAGGGTGGGGAGGAACAGGGTGCCCAGAGAAGCTGTGGCTGTCTCTGGATCCCTGGAAGTGTCCAAGGTCAGGCTGGACAGGGCTTGGAGCAACCTGGGACAGTGGAAGATGTCCCTGCCTGTGGCAGGGGAGAGTGAAACTGGACGAACTTTAAGGTTCCTCCCAACCCAAATAATTCCAATTATTATTATTATTATTATTATTATTATTATTATTATTATTATTCCCCCACCTTCCCTGTCCCGCACTTTAGGGCAGCACAGAGCCCACCCCTGCTCGGGATGGGGGTACAAAACATCCCACAGTAACCAGGGCTGACTCCCAGAGCCCGGCGGTGACCCCACAGCAGGGCAGGGGGTGGGTGAGGCTTGGCTGCTCGGTCCAGGGGTGTCCAGGACTATCCCAGCCCCTCACCTGGACATCCAGGAGTGCCCCAAGGCTGTCCTGGCCCCTCACCTGGATGTCCAGGGGTGTCCCAGGACTATCCCAGCCCCTCACCTGGACATCCAGGAGTGCCCCAGGGCTGTTCTGAACCCTCACCTGGACATCCAGGGGTGGCCAGTGGTGCCCAGGACTGTCCCAGCCCCTCACCTGGATGTCCAGGAGTGGCCAGGAGTAGCCCAGGACTGTCCCAGCTCCTCACCTGGACGTTGCTGCCGTTGATGTGCATGCGGCGAATCATGCTGCCCTGCGTGGTGACATCTGTCCAGTAGATCATCTGCTCCCGGTAGTTGAAATCCAGAGCCACGGCGTTGTTCAGCCCCTGGAGAAGAGGGAGGGAGGGAAGACAATTGCAGCAGCCTCAGCGGTTGCCATGGGCTCTGGAGGGGCTTTGCAGAGCCCACAACCTCACTGCCTGCCCCGTGCTCGCAGTGACCTCCTGCCATTTGAGTGAATTTGCCATTCCCTTGGGAAGCTGAGAGCCCAAACTCCTCAGCTGGCAGCTCCCACATCCTTCAGGGCCAGCTCTGTCCCCAAATCCCAGCCACAAGGGGCTGGTGTCCCTCCTGCTCCCAGCTCATCCCTCACCTGCTTGAGCAGAGTGTAGTTGGAGCCGTCCAGGTTGAGCTTCCTCAGGTAGTACCGGTTGGCGAAGATGAGGAAGGGCTCTTCGTCTGCGTGGGGAAAGGGAAAAGTGGCAGAAAAGCACATCTGGGAAAAGGACAGAGCCCTGCAGACCTGCCACCCTCCCTGTTCCACTCCCTCGTGATCTGAGGAGCAGCTGCTTCACCCTGTCACCAACTCCAAGAGCATCCCACGGCCACCAGGAAGGTCTTGGGCTCTGCCTACACCTGGCTCTCACCTGTGACAGCCTTGCAGCTGGTGGGGTTGTCAGGTCTGAGCTTGTAGCCCTCGGTGCACAGGCATTTGTAGCTGCCCAGKGTGTTGATGCACTTCTGGCTGCAGGGGTAGGTGGTGGAGCACTCGTCGATGTCGATGCACGTCTTCCCATCGTCCTTCAGCCGGAAGCCGGGACGGCATCTGCACTGCAGGAGCAACCCGGAGCTGTCAGACACCTCCAAGGCCCGCGGGGAGGTGGCAGGTGCCGGGAGGTGACACGCATCACCGCGGGACACGCGGACTCAGCAAGGACAGCTGAGACGCACAAACAGCGCCAGAAGCGCCCGTGTCACATCCCCAGCCCAGCTGGCACAGCACAGACACAACCCTCGTGTCCAGGAAGGAGAGGGAGCAACGGGAGCTGTGCCAGGAGAGGTTTAGATTGGATATCAGGAAAAGGTTCTTCCCCTAGAGGGTGTTCAGGCACTGCTGGTTGGCACAGCCCCGAGGCTGCATTTGGACAACGCTCCCGGGCAYRGGGTGGGATTGTTGAGCTCTCCTGTGCAGAGCCAGGAGCTGGCCTTTGATGACCCTTGTGGGTCCCTTTGTTGCCTTGAAAGGCCAGTTTTTAATAATGACACAGACACGGTTAAGGGGATAAAAAGGGTTTTACCTCAGTATTTGGGATCCCAGGTGCACAGCTTGATGGCAGAATGCACCCCYGTGTACAGCACRGGTACAAGTTTTATAGGTTTCAGGAATTAGCATATCTATCTAGGATTCCCCAATAAGAAACTTAACAAATGCAGTAATGTCCCCCTATTCTAATGAGTCTCCCCCCAGATGAAGCCAGAGCCCAGTTTACACAAGATGTTCTGGACAGAAGGCTTCACCTAAGGCTGAGCTCGGGTTTAAGCTTCACCTAAGGCTGRAGCTTCGGGTTTAAGATWGCACAGGGCATGCTGACTCCTTCCTCAGGATGTTTGGTCTCTCTGCCCAGCAGAACTCTTAAACTAAGCTGGAATATCAAGCTTCACGAATTACAAGCCTGTGGGCTAAGGGGTGCAAGGGAATGCATAGAGGGTACAGAAAGCRTAAAAATGAAAAGCAAARATCATCAGGCATCACCTTCCTGTCCAAATATCCCACAATTCCATGATCCCTGCRTCAGGCCCCCTACCTTGTACCCGATCTTGAGGTCCTCACACTCCTGCGAGCAGCCGCTCAGYTTCTTGTTGAGGCACTCGTTGATGAAGCAGTTGAGCTCGTCGGAGCCGTCGGCGCAGTCRTTGTTGTTRTCGCAGAGCAGCGCCTCGGCGATGCAATTCCCGTTCTTGCACAGGAAGAAGGAGTCGTTGCACTTGTGCTCTGCAGAGAGGGGATGGYAGAGGTCAGTAGGGGGTGGCTGGGACCCCGCTATTCCCCTCCCAGGACCCCAGCAGGTACCTGGGCTGCTGCAGCGCGGGTTTTTGGGTGCCTCGTCCGAGTGGTCGTGGCAGTCGAACTCGCCGTCGCATTCCCACTGCCGGTTGCTGAGGCAGCGGCCGTTGGCGCAGCGGAACTCGTGGGGGCCRCAGGTGGGATATTCTGAGGGAGGGTGAGGGGCTCAGATGGAATCCCACCCACCTGAGCCTTCCGAGGCACCACGGAGCCGCTCAGAGAGAGAGAGGGGCACCGCGGAGCCAAACCTTCTGCTGGCAGTGACAGGGACACCACGGAGCAGTCGTGGTGCTTTGCACACGCATGGATCTCTCTGTGGGGTTGGATCTCTCTGTGGGGTTGGGTCTTTCCATGGGGTTGAATCTCTCTGTGGAGCTGGATTTCTCCATGGGGCTGATTTTCTCCATGGGGTTGGACCTTTCCATGGGGTTGGACCCCTCCATGGGGTTGGACCTCTCTGTGAGGTTGGATCCCACTGTGGGGTTGGAACCCTCTGTGGGGTTGGACCTCTCCATGGAGTTGAATCTCTCTGTGGGGTTGGGTCTTTCCATGGGGTTGAATCTCTCTGTGGGGCTGATTTTCTCCATGGGGTTGGACCTTTCCATGGGGTTGGACCTCTCTGTGAGGTTGGATCCCACTGTGGGGTTAGATCCCTCTGTGGGGCTGGACCTTTCCATGGGGTTGGACCTCTCCGTGGGATTACCCCTTCATGGGGTTGAATCTCTCTGTGGGGCTGGATCTCTCTGTGGGGTTGGATCCCTCTGTGGGGCTGAATCTCCCCATGGGGTTGGACCCCTCCATGGGGTTGGACCTTCCCATGGGGCTGGATCTCTCCAAGGGCTTGGATCCCTTTATCAAGCCTGGTGGGCTGCTCTCCACCAACAATCCCCTTCCGCTGCCTCTCCAGGTTCCCTCTCCCGACACTCACAACAAACCCCTCTGGGCTGATGAAAACCCTCCTGGGGTACTGTCCCAAAGCCCAGGAGACCCAAAGTGGCCACCCTGTGTCCCACAAACACCCACCACACTCCGGGGACTCATCGGAGCCATCACCGCAGTCGTCATCGTGGTCGCAGACAAAGTGTTTGGGGATGCACTGGCGGTTCCCGCACATGAACTCACGCTCGTCGCAGGTGTTGTTGTACACTGCAACGGGGGYACCGCCGCTGTCAGACCCCTCCAGCAGAGCCCCCCGTGCCTCCCCCAGCCCCCCACCCTCGGGGACTCACAGCAGCCAGCAGCCAGGGTCTCGTCAGCCCCGTCGGCGCAGTCCTTGTCCCCGTCGCAGAGCCAGCGCTCYGGCACGCACACGTAGGTGCCCGGGCACTGGAAGGATCCTGAGCTGCAGGTGGTTAGCCCTGGGGAGGGGAGGAGAGGGTTGGAGCCTGGTCATGCCATGGCTGGAAAGTTTGGGGAGCACAGGGGAAGGGTGAGACCACGGGGGAAGAAGGGATGGGCAGAGGTAGTAATGTGGATGTAGGGACACGGTGATGGAGCAGGCAGGGGATGAGGTGGGGGAGAGGGGATGAGATGGGGCAGAGGGGCTGAGATGGGAGAGAGGGGCTGAGATGGGGGAGAGGGGCTGAGATGGGGGAGAGGGGCTGAGATGGGGGAGAGGGGCTGAGATGGGGAAGAGGGGCTGAGATGGGGAAGAGGGGCTGAGACAGGGGAGAGGATAAAACAGGGGAGAGAGGCTGAGAGCTGAGATGGGAGAGAGGGGATAAAACAGGGGAGAGGTGCTGAGATGGGAGAGAGGGGCTGGAGTGGACTCACGGCAGCGACTGTCCTCGTCAGAGCCATCCCCGCAGTCGTCGGCCCCATCACACACCCAGAGCTTGGAGATGCAGCGGTGGTTGTTGCACTCGAACTGCACGGGGTAGCAGAACTTGTCTGGGAGAGAAAAAGAGGAGGAGACGGGGTCAGAGTGAGATGGTAACGGTAGGAGATGGCGGCAGAGCACGGCCAGGATGGGCCAGCCGGGCTCCAGGAGCCCAGGGGGTATTGGGGGTACTGCTCATGGTGATGGGGGTTGTTCAAAGAGGTCAGAACTAAAGCTGGAGCTGAAGGAACCCATAAAACCCCAAAAGGGCCACAGACACTTGGGCATGCACTGAGCAAACCAGCACACAAGACTTTTATACCAGTGACAGATAAAAACCTGAGAGCGTGGAGTAAAACCACAGAGCGGGGAGAATCTGGGGTCTGCTCCTTGGCAAAGGGATGTGAGGGAGAGAAGAGGGTCCTGCCCACCCTCCAGCACCACCCCAGAGCCCCGGCCCGAGCCCTGACTGTCCCCACCCTGCCGCTCACTGCAGTGCGTCTCGTCTTCGCCGTTCTCACAGTCGTCCTCCTTGTCACAGGTCCAGGTCATGGGGATGCACCTCCCACTCGGGCAGGCAAAGTAGTTGGACGGACATTTGGGCTTCCTCCCGCCTGCTTTGTGAAGGAAAATCAGCAAGGACGACTCCACGGATACATCCAGCATCCTCCCAGCCCTGAACTGAAGGATTCCACCCCAAAATTTCCCCYGAGATCCCACACCCCTGCAGGACCCTCTGCGCCAGAGCCACGTGGGCAGAGAACAACAGTCCCAGCGGGCAAACAAAGCACCCACGACCCAAAAGTGGCATCCCTGCCCCCAGAGCCCCCTCTGCCCTCCCGCTCTCACCGGGGCAGTTGCGCTCGTCCGAGTAATCGCCGCAGTCGTTGGCGCCGTCGCACACCCAGCTGGGAGCGTAGCACAGGGACGTGTGCTCGCACTTCTGGAACGTGGTGCCCTTCACCCCCAGCTTGAAGTAGCTRCTGCAGTCGGTGGCGGCTGCGGGGAGTCATGGCAGGAGCCCGGTGACCAGCGGGAAGCACGGCCAGAGCCCCTTGGTCCGGCTCCCACCGCCACTGCCCCGCTGCCCGAGCCCGTTGTGCCCCACACGCACCCAAATGTGCCCCCCACATGTGCCCCACATATGCCCAGGGAGCCATGGGGTGTGGGATGATGAGCRTGGCACAGGGAGGGTGCAGGGGTGGGCTGGGGCTGCCTCATCCCACAGAAGCCCGTGGCCCATGGGATGGGAGCAGGACCCTCCTCTTACCCCAGCTCAACTCAAATCCCAAAGACCCAGAACCCTGCCAGCAGCACTGAGGGCAGGAGCATCTCCAGAGCTGAGGAGGGGACTGGGCACAGGGGACAGGGGACAGGGCACAGGGGACAGGACACAGGGGACAGGACACTCACTGCAGTTCATTTCATCCGACGCATCCTCGCAGTCGATGAACTGGTTGCAGCGGCTGGAATTCCCGATGCAGGTCCCGTCGCGGCAGCGGAACTCGGTAGCGGCACAGCTGGTTTCTGTCATGGGGGAGAAGACCCCTCAGCAGATGAGGCACTGTGGGGTGACCCCACGGGCAAATCCACCCTTATGGCACCCGCTGGTGCTGYGGAGGGGCACCCATACCCCCACACTGCTCCCAGACTCCATCCCTGTCTGGATGAGACCTGGAGCCTCCTGGCTCTACCTGGCAGCCTAAGCCCCTCTCCCTGACACAACAACTCTGAAAAGCTCCCGACCGCCCCTGTCAGTTTGGAACCCCCATCCTGCAGCCCCCCAAGGGGATGCTGCCTCTAAAAATGCCACGAGGAGCAGCGACGCCGCACCCCGTGCCCCTCCTGGGTGTCAAACCACTCTCACTGGGAGGCCCTGGGTGCTGCATGCCCGTGCCCATGCCCAGGAGTTTTTCCTCTCAGCTGTCACACCGTGAGCTTTACAAAGCAGCACAAAGCTTGACCTTGACTCTCTCTTAAGCCCTGGTTCTGCTCTGCTGCTGTCAAGCTGACGGTAACTCCCTCCTGAAGCCGCTGTCCCTGTCCCAGGCAGCTGGCAGAGCCCTGGCAGGCGCTGGCCGGGTGCCAGGCAGACACTCACTGTTGCAGGGCACCTCGTCCGAGTTGTCCCCGCAGTCGTCCACGCCGTTGCACCAGTAGCGGCTGGCCACGCAGCGCCCGTTCATGCAGTGCAGGTAGCCCTTCTTGCACTTGCGGTTGCCTGCCGGGGAGGAAGAGGAGGAGGA